GGACAGGATGGACAGCACCTTGTAGACTCTGCTAAACGCCAGCTGGCTTCGAAGATGAGCGACTTCGAGTCATGCCTCCTGGAAGCGAGAAACAGTGTCTCCCTGGTGCACCAGGCCCATTCAAGGGCTGCCAAGCAGTTCCTCCCCCCCCGGCGGACCTTCAGCAATGTGAAGAAGATGCCTCTCCTCTGAGGCACGCTGGCCCGCTGGTGCACCCTGGCCACTACAACAGAGACGCACCACGGCAAATGTAAAGATGCAGTCATTCAAAATGCACGGTACAACCCCATACCTCACGCAACTACCCACAAGCCACAGCAGCGTACCACGGTACATGGTTGGCTGGCCAAAATAAACGACAGGGGCATACGTGGTGTATTGGTCGGTAGTGAAATGATTTAATCATTTAATCTCTTTACTGTGCACGTTTTAATTTCGCTTAGTATTGAATATTTATATGGAATTTTACAACTAAAGGGAAATTTTAGTAGAAGAGCATAATGTATCTCGTCATAAACGATATTAATTTAGGAACATAAACATATCATGTAAACTGTATATGGCACACCGCAGACGCAGTCATACACTGAACAGTGAAACAGAAGTACACATATCAATAGAAAGTCTTATACTACTGTTTGTGCTACAGTACATGAATATAATTATATCATTATTAAATTCTTTAGATATGCGATTCCATATTATATTCCCTATTAATTTAAATTCAAATAGAATGCTTTTGTTTACACCGATAATGGGCGAATTCACAGAAAAGGTTAAAACTATCACTTTTCACAAAGTTTATAAACCTGATATTGTTTTAACAGAAAGAATACATTTCTGGAACCCGAGATGAAGTTAAACAGATGAGTTTATTGCATGCAAGGAACAATAAAGCCGAAGTCTTGTTTCCCGCAAGAAACAACAAAACCAAAATACTGTTCAAAGTGCCGGTACTTTAGGTTTATTTATCCTTCCCTTTCTGCTTCTGAAGTCACTCGTTATTATGGTAAAGGGGGGAGGTCACGTGTTTGGCCAGTTTACAGCTATTTGCCCAAATGGTCAGGGATTAAATCCCCAGGGCATTTCCCAGCTGGCATTTGGAATCCTTATCAGTTAACCCCCTTCCTGCCATAAACTCCAGCCTTAGAAGTCTGATCTTCATGCAAAAAGGACTTAAAATTAACCCCGTCTTCACATCTTACTTCAATATGTGCAGAAGGAGCACATAAAAATGTTTCCGAAATAAACATATGTAAGACTTTGATGCTTAAAATGTTTAGGGAGAAATGGAATACTGGTGTGTATTTTTTCTTTAAACTACCAATACCAGCCATATACAGTTTACATAATATGTTTATGTTCCTAATTAAATACACAGTTTAAATGTAAAAGTCTAAAGAGTATACGACTTAAATTCTTAATTGAATAAAGATTGTCCCTCAGCAGTGATCGGGATTCAAAACTGGGTGTTTTCTGGTGACAGCTCAAATGCTGTACATGAGAGGTTAAGCTTTATTAACTCCACCTGGAGGTTTTACAAGGTGGTTCCGGATACTATTAACATATCCTATTTGCTTACTGTAAAATGCAGTTGAGGTAAAAACGTGTATTGATTGCGATATACCCATTGTGTGGTACAGCAGCGTACCCCTCTGGTTTAGGGTGGCTGTATCTGTTTACTGCACTTCATAAAAAGTTACTGTATAATGTGTTGTCCTTTTCTCAGAATACATACGGTAGTAAGAACACACCTTCCTGTTATTGTAAAAAAATGTTGTACTGATTTAATACCACTTGAGAATAAAATTAATATGGAATTGTGTAACTTAGCAGCTAAAATATCACAAGTGGCTGTTTTTTTAAACATTTTGAC